GCTAAGGAGGAGAGGTAGCTGAGGTAGCCAGGTCTTTGCTCCCCACTGGTGTTTGTTCATCTCTGCATGGGATAAAGGAAAGGGTTCATGGTGGCCACAGCTACCGACTGCTGTTCCTGCTGGAACTTGCCTAGTGTCTGTGCTTCTTCAGGTCATAACAAAAAGCCTGTTCCTACTGCTGTGTGTAAAATCAGGAAGAATTTTGTCTGCATGAAACTAGCTAAGCCAAGTCCCATTTTAGGACATGAAAGAGGGGTGCTCTTTAGAGCCTGCTATTTTTTATTACCCTTTGGTAACAAAGTAGATCTTCTGTGGCGAAACCCTGGTTCTGGATACAGAAAATACTCGCTTTCCCAAATCAAATGCTCAGTTCCGGTTAATCCCAAATCCAGTTAATGCATTAATGGATCTCAAGGAATGGTTTTGCAACAGTAACACTTTTCTGGCATAGCACGTATTCTGCACACGTTAGTCAGTACAGCGATCTGTTGTAAATGAGGTTGTGAAAGCTAAACAAGACATAAAATCGGATTCTTAATTTAGTGTCCAGACAGCTGCAGTGAAATTCCAGCACCTAGACATACTTCACTCTGAAACAGATAATTGCTACACTGAACTGCCGAGAAGTGTTGTGGAAGGTTGAGGCTTTGCTGTCTGTAGGGCAGTTAAAATGCTAGTGTTATTCACACGGAAGCTATAGCATGTTTTTGCCAGGTACTGTATGATTTCAGAGTATACATGTTAGCAGGTTATTAAGGGAGAGTCATCTTATCTTGCCAGTCTGAATGAAGGACTTTTGCAATCTTTAAAATGTGATTTAGCAAACAGGAGCAGACTGTCTTGACTGAGCAGACAAGGTCCCACTTCAGGAAACTGGGTAGATGATGGATTGGCTGTGCTTTCTACAGGATGAGTCCCTCCCTGCCGAAGTGCCATTGTCAACTTCTGCTGCATCTGGCGAGCTGAAGACACACTGCTTCTGAATAACTGATGTCTTTGGATTTTCAGCCCTGCATGAACAATCTAGACCATGGCAGTTGACCTGACCTCCTTTTCCTATGGGCAGAACAGTTCTTCAGCCAAACTGGGCTTTCTGTCTTCCCAAGATACGTCCCTGGTCACGCAGCAACTGAGCAGCTCCGTGCTTTCCCACAGCTTTGCACTGTTCTAGCTTCTGACTATAGCCCTGACTGTAGCTCTCCCTCCTTTCCACTGTTTACTTTCCAGATTGTCGTCTTCGCCTTGTGTGAGTATGGTGTTACTTTTCCCATCTTTTGGTGTTGCTTCTGTGGCAGAGTGCATTCTATGTCTGTATCTTTGAATAGACCAGTCAGCAGAAATATGGATGCCCTGCAGTTATTGGCCCCTCTCAAGATGGACAGTGTATCTTTAAAAGGTTCAAAACAAATAACCAAATATAATAAGAACTTTTAGATGTTTAAAAGCTGAATATTTGAAAAGAGGAGCCTTTTCCAGTGCCTAAAAAGGCTTGCATTTATACTGCACCGAGGCACTGGTCATGCAAGGAGCTTTGTATTGCAGATGATGCTGTGAGATTTGCACCATTGCTGGGGTTTCATGCGGGCCATGACAGAAGCTGGAATTTGAGTTATTGTAGCAGTTTTTCTCTGTGCGTGCACCCTGGCTTGAGCTACTGCAAAAACAAGCTTGAATCTTACACCATTTTAACTCTGTTTCCTAATGATGTGCTGCTTGCTGTTCATCCGTTATCCAGGACTTCCCTCCATGCCATGCTTAATTTCAAAGATGTTGGAAAAATAGATTAAAAGTTTGCAAAACATCTAGAAATTCCCATGCTGGCTCTATTCTTGACCCCACAAATGAGGCGCAACACCTGGGTGGGGAGGAAGGATCATGGTAAGCCTCATGGAGGGAAGTGTAGGCAGTGCTTTGGCGTTCTGTTTCCAGTCTTGCTTTGCACAGGTCACCCTTTGCCTGATGAACGAGAGTGGGTGGGCAGGGATACGCAGGCTGCAAAACCATTGGAACACAGCCTCCTTACCTCCCTTGTCACAGAGCAAACATGGTTGTCTGCAGCTAGCTGGCAGTGACTTCGAAGAGCAAGAGAGCAGGCAGTTACTAATTTGTGTTGGGTTTAGGGAAAGCATTCTCCAGGGGCAGTTAGCCACCGTGTGGCTGTCTTTTTGAGCCATGATGCAGGTCATTTTGCATCTAAAAATGCCTATGTAGCAGAGAACAGGGAACGAAATGAGGCGTAACATTGGCGTGAATGCTGCATTTCAGTTTGGAAAAATGTAAAGGGCTTTTCTGCCTATATGAAAATATAAGTGAGATGAGAACAACAGGAGCTTCAAATTTTGCAGGTCGTGTTCACAAAGCACAGGAGGGAGGAGGTTAGGGAGAGCCTCCAAACAGACCTGCAGAAGTGAGCAGAAGTACCCTATTACTTTTAGCTGTCTGAGAAAGTCACCAGAGGTGAATGCTCTCTCATCAGCTGTATACAAAAAGAGAAGCTCAGACTTTGCTATCATCTGGCAGTGCTGCAGTTTCTTTGATGTCCCTGGATTACTTTAATGAAAAAAGTTCCACTTAAGAGATGAAGAATTTAAGATATATTTACCAAATTGAAGTTGTATCAAGATGTGATGCCTTGTTTGAAAAAGTGACCTCTAGCAAGTAACACCTGTCAAGACAGGAAACATGGATATTGTTAGAGGAATATAAACAGACATTTAATCCTATTAATTTAGCTGAGCAGTAAGCTCAAAACGTTCTCAGCCCAGCCTGTGCCCAGCAACCACGAAATTTTGAGTTGAGCTCTTTTGTTACTGATTTTCTCCAGCAACTCAAATAACTTTCATTTTTAAAATTAAGACAACAGTGTAAGGAAAGAGAGGCTGTCCAGTTCTGTATTAACAGCAGTGCGGACGTTGGGTGAGGGCTGTGTGTTGGGGTCCATCTGTGAAGTTCTGACTTTCTTACAGAAACTTTCTTACTCTCTGGAGTCAGAGTTACCTGGACCTGTTGAAGTCAGCTAAAGCTTCACAGTTGACTTAGATCTATTTCAGCCATGGTCCTCGAGGGTCTTTACAGTAGGGGGTAAATAATTTCCCACTTCAGAAACAGGCTACTGAGGGGTCCAGTATCCCAGCAGTGGGATCTGTCTGAAAACTGGTTTGTGCGATCTTTCTCAATGTGGTCATTGCTCTAGGATTGTACAGACATTTGACTAACTACATCTCCTTTGGTTGTGGTTTAAAAAAACAAATGTTATTGCAGTAGTTAAGTAATAAAATGCCTGGATGACAGGAAAATGGGCATTGACTGCAGCTTAAATCTGGAAATGTGTGGAGTACAGAACATAATAAGCAAAATAAAAGTTAAAAAATGATTATTAACAGCAAATGTTCCTGTGAACAACCCCCTACAGTAACAGATGATTTAGAGCCGAAGTGCGAGACCAACAGACATACACGAACTGAACATTCCCACTGCAACCTTAATTTTTTGCCAGGGCCCTGAGGGCACCCATGGGTCTTAATGGCACTGGCACTGGTTCCAGACTTACTTTATAGCCATGCTTATATACTGTCAGAAGCTTACTACTCAGGCTGTTGATTTTTCATGCCAGATACCTTGGCGAACCAGAACCACTCAGGGAAAAGAAAGCTACAGTCCAAGAAGTTATCTGTAAACAATTTCAGTATTTTTAGCTGAGTTATATTACAATTCCTTGCTCTTCTTTGTTTACTGAAAGAATTGTTAATATTTAAATTTACTTTTTTTTTCCCTTCTTTTCCCCTCTATCCACTTAAATGAATGAAGCATCTCCTGCATCATGTTTCATTGTCTTTTTTATGGTGATAAAAGAAATGTGGATCAGACAAACAACTGCAAAGTCTCCTAGAAAGTCCTGGTACCGAAGTCCTGAGGAGGGCTTGCAGTCTTGTGTGGGATGAGACCTTGCCTAGAAAGTAGCTGCACAGTGAGGTCAGGAAGCAGTTTTTTGGCAGTAAAAGGTGAACATGTGATAGGTGTGTATTTTTTATGTTTGACCTGCAGTATTGTAGGATTCATGGCTTTGACGCCAGAGGTCCATGCCTTGTGTTGCAAGCTTTTAAATAGTTCTGATGAAAATGGCGAGTGTTTGTCTTGAACAGAATCAGGAGTTAGATCTGGGAAAACAGACAATATGATAAAAAAGCAAAAGGTTAACTCGTGGAGTTTAAGGAAGATTACAACTTAAACCTTGCAGGCCCTTTAAGCTTTTCTTGAGCCTTTGGATGACTGATGACTGTCAGTATAGCACAGTGAAGGGTGGACTTATTTTTTCCTTATATTGAAAACTAAAGTTTCTGGCCTTCATTTTTTTGCCTCTCAAATTCAGTGGAAAAGGAGATATTTGATACTTTTGAGAAATGTGCATAAATGATGTAAAATATCATAAAGTTTCATCAGGTGCAGAGGAAATGTCTGAGCTGGTGCTTGATTGCCACCCTGGTGTTCAAGATGAATTGTATGTTTTAAGATTTTATTTAAGTTTCATTTCGTGAGTATGAAGACACAATCACTGTCTTTTGGGCTGCATTTGCATTCTGTCAGAGATTTCAGTTTCAAATTATATTGCCACTGATACTGAACTGGCTTGTTTAAAAAGCCATTTAATCTTATTTAGTTGTGTATTGCAGTGATATTCCTTCCCTTGGGTTTAACGGCAGATTTTTTGCAGGCAGAATGAGGAATGAGGCCGCTTAAAAGCAGGCGCTGTTTTGAGAAACGTGTTTTGGAGTGCATGAGATGAGAGTGAAATGGGTTTTTCTGAGCTTACAAATGTTTCACTTGCCCGTGCAAACGCGGTCTTGCTTTGGGAGAGCTGAAGAGCGGGGTTTTGCTCTCTGTTCACAGGCGAGCAGCAAGAATGAGCTTGGCAACGCAGGACCACGAGTGCCAGGACACTGTGATCTGAACTGCATCTTCAGCTGACTTCCTGGTGGCGAGGCACCCTTGACCCCTGTACCATGGAGGACTGCCTTCACACCTCCTCCGAAAACCTCTCCAAGCTGGTGAGCTGGGCCCACAGCCACGGGACCATCTGCAGCCTTATCCCCAACCTCAAGCACCTGCTCTCTGAGGGGGCCCACGGCAACC